TAAATATTCATTATAAAGATGTTAATAAGCTACCACACCCATTTAACTCGATTTTTGTTTGGTTAATTGTTCATTCTCCCATCTTGAAGAACAAAAGGAACAAAAGTTTAGCCTCACAAAACAAACCCACTATATGGTAGTGTTTTATTTTTGAGGAGCAAAAACTTTCGTTGTTTTCACGGGTTAGCATGCAACCATGAAATTAAATATTGGCTAAATATTAAAGGCATGGCACTAACATTGCCAATCCATAAAAGTTATTGCCACTTTTTATTAATCCACGAAATTAAAGGGCTATATGATATACTTACACTATTATAATTGTACAGATGCTACTAGAATCTGGAACAGTGCATTCCCAGGTATGATACGTCTTCAAGGAGGAGCTTATTCTAATGAAGGGCGTGTGGAAGTGTATTGTAATGGACAGTGGGGGACGATATGCAGTACTGGGTTTGGAACTACTGATGCTAACACCATTTGCAAGCAACTGGGATATGACAACTATTACAATTATAATCAGTTGTCAATGTTAGTATTTGTAGATTAAATCAAATTAATATTAAATATTTTAGATCCAGTGGTAGCTCTAGTCAGCCAATATGGAGTACTAATATGTACAGTACATCAAGTGATAGGTGTTATGGTACTAGAAACACTTGTCCATCCTCTTCAGTGACTACTTGTTCTCATAGTAATGATGTTACAATCAGTTGCAGTAAGAGTACCTTAACCAAGTAACTGTTTATTGTGATTCATTTGTAGGAGAATACTCCTCATTATATGGGCAAACTGTAACTTTATCAACTTGTGCAAGTCAGTTGTATCTGTAATTAAAAAAATTTATTTTTTTTCTAGATCTTATACTTAGTAATCCTGCTAATGGAGCTATAATTCTCTCTCGTTATAATGTATCATCAACCTCTTATTACTATGGAACAATTAGAGTATATTATAATGGATGGGGTAACATTTGTGATGACTTAAGATACAATTCAGTTGAAGCTAATGTCATTTGTCATCAGTTGGGATACACTGGAGCTTCAAGCTACTCAAGAGCTGGACTTGTCAGGTGTGTACTAGTCCATTATAAAAATGTAAATACTGTTTCTGTAGTTATGGTACAGACTACCTTTCCATGAAATGGGATGATGTTAATTGTGCTAGTAGCAGCTATTTAGCTATTGCTCAATGTTCATACTCTACTTATATTGATAGTGGCTGTACTAATAGCAACAGTTATGATGCTACTGTTTACTGCTGTAAGATAGAAATGGTTAAAAATTTGGTTTATTAGATTGTACAGATACTACTAGAATCTGGAACAGTAATCCATTCCTTGGTATGATACGTCTTCAAGGAGGAGCTTATTCTAATGAAGGACGTGTGGAAGTGTATTGTAATGGACAGTGGGGGACAATATGCAGTACTGGGTTTGGAACTACTGATGCTAACACCATTTGCAAGCAACTGGGATATGACAGTTATGACAGATATAATCACTTGTCAATGTCAGTATTTTGATAATGATAGTTACATTAAAATTTAATATTCAATAATTTAGATCCAGTGGTAGCTCTAGTCAGCCAATATGGAGTACTAATATGTACAGTACATCAAGTGATAGGTGTTATGGTACTAGAAACACTTGTCCATCCTCTTCAGTGACTACTTGTTCTCATAGTAATGATGTTACAATCAGTTGCAGTAAGAGTACCCATAACCAAGTAACTGTGTATTGTGATTCATTTGTAGGAGAGTACTCCTCATTATCTCGTCAAACTGTAACTTCATCAACTTGTTCAAGTCAGTTGTAACTACATTTGACATGAATTTTAATTTTCCTATTAACTTAGATCTTATACTTAGTAATCCTGCCAACGGAGCCATAATTCTCTCTCGTTATAGTGTATCATCAACCTCTTATTACTATGGAACAGTTAGAGTATATTATAATGGATGGGGTAATATTTGTGATGACTCAAGATACAATTCAGCTGAAGCTAATGTCATTTGTCATCAGTTGGGATACACTGGAGCCTCAGGCTACTCAAGAGCTGGACTTGTCAGGTATGTACTGGCCACTAAGCATTATATATAAATGCTGTTTCTGTAGTTATGGTACGGATTACCTTTCTATGAAATGGGATGATGTTAACTGTGCTAGTAGTAGCTATTTATCTATTTCTCAATGTTCATACTCTACTTCTATTGATAGTGGTTGTACTAATAGTAACAGTTATGATGCTACTGTCTACTGCTGTAAGATAAAACTGTAGTACAAGTGTTTAAATTATATTTTACAGATACTACTAGAATATGGAACACTAGCCCATACTCTGGTATGATACGTCTTCAAGGAGGAAATTATTCTAATGAAGGACGTGTGGAAGTGTATTGTAATGGACAGTGGGGGACAATATGCAGTACTGGGTTTGGAGCTACTGATGCTAACACCATTTGCAAGCAACTGGGATATGATAACTATTACAGATATAATCACTTGTCAATGTTAGTATTTGATGATTATTATTAAGATTTATTGCTTTCAATAATTTAGATCTAGTGGTAGCTCTAGTCAGCCAATATGGAGTACTAATATGTACAGTACATCAAGTGATAGATGTTATGGTACTAGAAACACTTGTCCATCCTCTTCAGTGACTACTTGTTCTCATAGTAATGATGTTACAATCAGTTGCAGTAAGAGTACCCATATCCAAGTACTGTTTATTGTGATTCATTTGTAGGAGAGTACTCCTCCTCATCTCGTCAAACTGTAACTTCTTCGACTTGTTCAAGTCAATTTTATTGCATTAATCAATAATGAACCTTGCATTCAAAATTTAGGTCTTTTAGGTAATCCTGCAAATGGAGCTCTGATTCTTTCTCGTAGTAATACACACTCAGCTTCTTATTACTTTGGAACAGTTAGAGTATATTATAATGGATGGGGTAATATCTGTGATGATTCCCGTTATGGTTCAGCTGAAGCTAATGTCATTTGTCATCAGTTGGGATACACTGGAGCTTCAAGCTACTCAAGAGCTGGACTTGTCAGGTGTGTACTGGTCACTAAACATTATATATAAATACTGTTTCTGTAGTTATGGTACAGACTACCTTTCTATGAAATGGGATGATGTTAACTGTGCCAGTAGCAGCTATTTATCTGTTGCTCAATGTTCCTATTCTACTTATATTGATAGTGGCTGTACTAATAGTAATAGTTATGATGCTACTGTCTACTGCTGTAAGATGGGTTAATAATTGTTTTTTGTTTTACATCATTACATACATCAGATACCAACAGAATCTGGAACAGTAATCCATTCCCTGGTATGATACGTCTTCAAGGAGGAGCTTATTCTAATGAAGGACGTGTGGAAGTGTATTGTAATGGACAGTGGGGGACAATATGCAGTACTGGGTCTGGAACTACTGATGCTAACACCATTT